GGCAGAGACACAAACTACTGGGGGAAATCTCACCATTGTGGGAGGGGCAGAGACACAAACTACTGGGGGAAATCTCACCATTGAGGGAGGGGCAGAGACACAAACTACTGAAGGGAAAACTCACCATTGTGGGAGGAGCAGAGACACAAACTACTGGAGGAAATCTCACCATTGTGGGAGGGGCAGAGACACAAACTACTGGGGGAAATCTCACCCTTGTGGGAGGAGCAGACACAAACTACTGGTGTCACAATATCTGGAAATCCGTGCCGGATTTTTGCTTTGCTCCCTGGTTCTGGGCTGTCAGCCTATGGTGTCTCACAAGGCTGCAGCCAATCTGCTCTCCTCCTCCCCTATTTAGGACTTCCTCACTTGTTGCTCTTGGTGCGAGCAACAAGTCTTATGCCTTGTTCTGTACCCCCTTGTGGCTCTAACTATCCCTGGGATCTTATTCCCTGCGCTTATTATTGGATCCTTGTGCCTTTGGCTTCCCTGTACCAGCTGGTATCCCTGTTTGGCGTTATCCCCTGCTTTGCTCTTTGCACACCTACTATAGTATTTCAGTGGTTACCTTTAGTATATTGCTGCAGACCTTAATTGCTTTCACCTGTGTGCGGTGAGTCTCTCTATACTGCCTTCATTGCCTCACTTCTGTGTTTTCCCCCTCCAGTCTTTGTCTGTTTGCTTCCTCCTATTTACTGCTTTCTTGTACTTCAATTCCCTCACTTACCTTCCAGTGTATCTTCCTTTTGCTTTGCTGTCACCCCTTTATTTCTGTGCTACTCTCTTACCTTGTGGCTGTGTTGGATTCATCATTTCTCTGCACACCCCCTGTGTGCATATTTCCCTTTGTGCTTCTTTATTTACTTTTCCCTCTTTTATCCTGCTTCTTTGTATGCATGTGCAATGCACATCTCTTGCTTACTCGGGGATCTCAAGTCTCCCTGATGTTCAGGGAGTCTCCATCTATTAGCAGCTCCCTGACGTCCGTGAGAGAGGCATTTTCTCCCTGAAAGGTTTACTTTGAGTAAACCTTTCCGGTAAGATATCAGTGGGTAAGGTTTCAGAGTGAGGCTTGCCTCCTGGAGGAAGATCATGTGATCTCTAGAGTAGCCTCAGAGTGAGGCTTGCCTCCTGGAGGAAGGGCATGTGATCTCTAGAGTAGCCTCAGAACGAGGCTTGGCTCTCAGAAGGAAGAAGCTACTTGCTGCACAGAGAGGGCGGACATAGACTACTATTGAGAGCAGGTACAGGCACTGCTGCAGGGTTGAGAGAGGGCTGTTAACCCTTTGTGTACAATATAGAATCAATTATATGTCCTGGTTGTCTAGTTATAGAGAATATTTATTTCATTTGCTGCCCATAGCAATTAGTCAACTGTGTATCAGGGACTTTACTCAGCGTTTTTTTTAAAAAGGTCTCGGGCTGTCTAATAAATTGTGACCTTTACACTGACAAATACTTGAATATCAATTCACAAATCTGATGTGTGTGTATATATATGTATATGTATGTGTGTGTGTATATATAAAATTATTATTTCTTTTATATTCTGAGGACGGTGCTGTAAAAAAAACTAACAGTAAGGGCACCTCCCTGAAATAAGGTTTTGCAGGTTGGGATGTCTGCTTACTTTTGTGCGTTACACCTTCCTGCTCCTGGGTGTGCCTCTAAGCTACTTACCTTTCCCTGGTGTCCTTGCTGTTCTATTCTCTTCAGTATACTCTGCTGTGCGATTTGCACTTTTGCTTGAGCTCTCTCCCTATCTTCCTCCTCTTGGTTACAAGTTTATTCCCTACCTGTTTGTATCCAGTTCCCCGCTGCTTCAACTAGTCCTTTGCGTCTGTGTGGGTGCGCTAGAGGGCCGCAACCTGGAAGGTGTCCAGCAGCCAATCATCCTCACCACTAGAGGCTCTGTCGAATACCTGGCCCTTCTTAGATTCTGCGCCTCTAGTGCGTCCTGAGAACGCACAGACCATTAGTTCCTCTCTCCCTGTGACCAACATCCCCGATATCCCTCCTATCTGTGACTCCTACCAACTCCGCATACAGCGGAGCTCACGTACCCTAGTGCCCCGGTCCCTAGACCGTGACAACTGGGTGGAAATTTCACCATTGTGGCAGGGGCAGAGACACAAATTACTAGGGGAAATCTCACCATTGTGGGAGGGGCAGAGACACAAACTACTGGGGGAAATCTCACCATTGTGGGAGGGGCAGAGACACAAATTACTGGAGGAAATCTCACCATTGTGGGAGGGGCACAGACACAAATTACTGGAGGAAATCTCACCATTGTGGGAGGGGCAGAGACACAAACTACTGGGGGAAATCTCGCCATAGGGGGAGGGGCAGAGGCACAGACTACTGGGGGGCTATGATGGAAACTCATTGTTGTCCAATGACAGCAATGATGGCGATCGCTACAGTCGCAAAGTTCTCTTTGGACGGAATCCCATGTTTACTTTCCTTTCCTACTTCTGAACCGGTTCGATATGTTTGTCAACAGAGGCCCCCTGTGGCACTATGGTCACCAATTATTCCCATGGTATGGAAAATGGCAGCGTCCCTCCTCTCCCACCCTGTTCATCTCCGCCATAAGCCGCAGTCCTATTTTCATGTTTTGTGTGATCAGTAAAACAATTCTGCGCGGCAGCAGCGATAATAATGACATCCGCTGGGAGAGGAAATGCAAAGTGCCGACGCAAGACAGCGAGCTTTACAACCTTCCCGGAGCATTGGACTTAACCCTTCGCTGCAGAGCTCCGCCGTGCTCTGTATAGAACACCCCTTCTTACGTGTCCTCGAGGCCCCCATCTACCCAATCCCAGGGGCCCATCCCTGTTACTGCACCATTTTCTGCCTCCTCTTTGGGAAGTTGCATTTTACCGGAACGTCAATATACATTTTACCATCCGAGCACTTTTCACAAAGCCGGGGGCAAATTTTTACGTCCATTTCTGCCTACGCAATGGTCATTGGCGACATGGCGGATATGGGCGCCGATAGGGAGGCGAGGGGAAGAAATGGTCATGGGATTTTCACAATGTTGGGAAATATCCATCTCCTGTTCCGGGCATCAAAGGCGGAACCCTATTCAGTACCCAGCTTTCTAAGGCTCTTCACAACAGAGCAATAAACGTGGCCAGGCCACGCCTCTAACGCTTTGTCTATTACCCTCAGCGCTCTTATAGCCGCCCCTTCCAAGACGCACGTCAAGCACCCCCTTTTAGCGCCCGCATGCACAAGCCCTACAGAGCCCCAACCGCCACATTATCTACAAACCGCCTTCCCTTTCCTCGCCCCACAACCGCCAATGGGTGGCGCTGCGCCGTCCGCGGCAAAGAAAACAAACACAGCTGCAGCCGACACAATATGATTTGTGATTAATTCCTCCTAAACAGCCATTTTTTTTAAACAAAAGGGAAGAAAAACAAATTTAATCTAAAATTCAATAAGAATATAAAGAAAAAAAAAATATAGCGCGGAGCCGGCGGCGGCACAAAGGAAATTAGAATAATGCCAGGAAATAAATTCACAAATGACGTCTCTTCATTCCCGGCGAGCGCTTGTTTTTATTTACTCAACAAGAAAATTACATGAGTAGACGTGAGACGGATGGCGAGCGAGGGCCCCCTTTTTAGGTGAATCACCATTGTGGGAGGGGCAGAGACACAAATTACTGGAGGAAATCTCACCATTGTGGGAGGGGCACAGACACAAATTACTGGAGGAAATCTCACCATTGTGGGAGGGGCAGAGACACAAACTACTGGGGGAAATCTCGCCATAGGGGGAGGGGCAGAGGCACAGACTACTGGGGGGCTATGATGGAAACTCATTGTTGTCCAATGACAGCAATGATGGCGATCGCTACAGTCGCAAAGTTCTCTTTGGACGGAATCCCATGTTTACTTTCCTTTCCTACTTCTGAACCGGTTCGATATGTTTGTCAACAGAGGCCCCCTGTGGCACTATGGTCACCAATTATTCCCATGGTATGGAAAATGGCAGCGTCCCTCCTCTCCCACCCTGTTCATCTCCGCCATAAGCCGCAGTCCTATTTTCATGTTTTGTGTGATCAGTAAAACAATTCTGCGCGGCAGCAGCGATAATAATGACATCCGCTGGGAGAGGAAATGCAAAGTGCCGACGCAAGACAGCGAGCTTTACAACCTTCCCGGAGCATTGGACTTAACCCTTCGCTGCAGAGCTCCGCCGTGCTCTGTATAGAACACCCCTTCTTACGTGTCCTCGAGGCCCCCATCTACCCAATCCCAGGGGCCCATCCCTGTTACTGCACCATTTTCTGCCTCCTCTTTGGGAAGTTGCATTTTACCGGAACGTCAATATACATTTTACCATCCGAGCACTTTTCACAAAGCCGGGGGCAAATTTTTACGTCCATTTCTGCCTACGCAATGGTCATTGGCGACATGGCGGATATGGGCGCCGATAGGGAGGCGAGGGGAAGAAATGGTCATGGGATTTTCACAATGTTGGGAAATATCCATCTCCTGTTCCGGGCATCAAAGGCGGAACCCTATTCAGTACCCAGCTTTCTAAGGCTCTTCACAACAGAGCAATAAACGTGGCCAGGCCACGCCTCTAACGCTTTGTCTATTACCCTCAGCGCTCTTATAGCCGCCCCTTCCAAGACGCACGTCAAGCACCCCCTTTTAGCGCCCGCATGCACAAGCCCTACAGAGCCCCAACCGCCACATTATCTACAAACCGCCTTCCCTTTCCTCGCCCCACAACCGCCAATGGGTGGCGCTGCGCCGTCCGCGGCAAAGAAAACAAACACAGCTGCAGCCGACACAATATGATTTGTGATTAATTCCTCCTAAACAGCCATTTTTTTTAAACAAAAGGGAAGAAAAACAAATTTAATCTAAAATTCAATAAGAATATAAAGAAAAAAAAAATATAGCGCGGAGCCGGCGGCGGCACAAAGGAAATTAGAATAATGCCAGGAAATAAATTCACAAATGACGTCTCTTCATTCCCGGCGAGCGCTTGTTTTTATTTACTCAACAAGAAAATTACATGAGTAGACGTGAGACGGATGGCGAGCGAGGGCCCCCTTTTTAGGTGAAAAAAATACGAGATTGTCGTCGCCCCCCCGGCGCGCGTCGGTCGGTGAACAGATACTGGTAGAGTATGAGGTGTCATATACCTGGAGATTTGTGGCAGAGGTGACGTGTGAGCAAAACCTCATGTCCTGCCTATTCAGGGAGTAGCGTTCGCAGGAGGACTACAAGTCCCAGAAAAGTCACTGCAGATGTAAAATCCTTCCCAGGTACATTGAAACAAAAGGTGTGCCATAAAGTAGAAAAGCCTTTCCCCTGCCAGCACGCTGCAGAGAAGGACCCTTGCTCTCTGTGTGGAAGCAGTGGTGTCTCTGCAGAGCAGGGGGCGTGTCAGACCTCTGTAGAGAGACCACAGAGAGTAAGGGTCCTTCTGTGCAGCATGCTGCAGGAAGTAAGACCTTTCTATTCAGGATGTTGCTGCTTTTTAAGGAAATGAACTGTAAGACTTTGCAGACCTTTTGTTTTCATGCACCAGCCAGTAAGCATTATAGCGTTCTCTCTGCAGAGGTCCGACACTCCCCCTGCTGAGTCAGAGCTTGAGCTCTTCAATCATTAAAGCTTATACGCTCTGCTAATTGGAGAGTTGTGGATCTGACTCAGCCGAGGGCGTGCTAGACCTTACACATGCAAGGTCTTATAGTACATTTACCCAAAAAAGCAGCCACAGCCTGGGTATAAAAGCCTGTCCCTTGTCAGCACACTGCAGATAAGGACCCTTGCTCTCTGTGTGGAATCAGCAGTTTCTCTGCAGAGGTCCGACACTCCCCCTGCTTAGTCAGAGCTTGAGTTCTGCCAATCAGCAAAGCTCATAGTCCTTGCAGATTGGAGAGCTGTAGCTCTGACTCAGCAGGGGCATATCAGACCTCTGCAGACAGACCACTGCTTCCACAGGCAAGGCTGAAGACGGCCACAGATGGTTCAATCCAATTATAGAATCTCTGCCCAATCTCCCTTAGGCTCATCAACACGCAATAATCTAACTGTACAATCTCTCTTACATCTACTAGGGATGCACCGATAGCGTTTTTTCGGTATCGAGTACATGTACTGATATTTCTATTTCGGCACTCGCTGATACCGAATACCGATAAGGAAGCCAGGCGACGTGTAATGACTCGCCACCCGGCTTCCTGATTAGCACGGAAGCCATCCCCATGCTTCCTCAACACCAGGAGCTGGCTTTCTGGCCAATCAGGAAGCCGGGGGGGAGGGGGGGGGAATGACCTGCTCAAGAAGCTGGCCGATCAGGAGGCCAGGCGGCGAGTCATTACACGGTGCCTGGCTTCCTGATTGGCCCGGGAACCCAGGTGACAAGGGAGCATGAAGCTGGCTTTCTGGCTAATCGGGAAGCCGGGGGGTGGGTAATGACACGCAGTCCGGCTTCCTCATTGACCATCTTCCCGACCAATCAGGAAGCCGCGCAGCGAATCATCACACGCTGCCCCGCTTCCTTAATTGCCGGGAAGCCAGCTCCATGCACCCTCGTCAACAAGTGACAGTCAATTTGGTGTCACCCCCTCTGAAAAGTCAGGCATTCGGTCATGGAACGAGAACAGTGTCAGGAGAGAGGAGGGGACCCGGCGGCATACAATATCCGGCTGGGTGAACATCCCCTTCCCTCTCTGCCAGCATCCATCACCAAGATGGCTGCGCATCCACGATGATGTCACCGCACATAAGCGTGGTGACGTCACAACGTGGTGTCACCTGGTATCCGCTCCGGGTGACACCCGGCCTTGGTGATGCCCTTGTGAATGATCCATTCTATATACAGTATATCCAATCAGCCAACATACTACATGGATGTTGGGAAATCTAAAGGAGATTCCGGTTAGAGCTGGTCACACGTGTTACAATCTGGTTGTACAGATTGTACAATCTACCATGTGAAAATGTACAATCAGATTGTACCCTGTGTGGCCATTTTAGAGATCTCAATAGATATTTGCTGACAACCAGTGCACAGATCGGTATGGACGGGTGAGGCTCTGAGTTTAGATGGCCCCATGAAACCGCCAATTTCGACCCTTATAAACGGTTAATTTGCACCCGTCATCGGAAAGGAAGACAGGTATAGTTAGAAATGGACGGTCTGTCCCAGATTTGGGGG